AAACGCCCCCCCCCCCCCCCCCCCCCGTGTTTGTGGACGCACTCAAGCCTTGCACTCCCTCACACTCAGGACTGTGGTTATTTCTGTGAAGCTTTTCGCTCTGTCTGAAGAGAAGTCACACTGTGCATGACCCCCCTGCCCCAGCTAGTAGCTGTATGCAATCACAGATACCCAAAATAGAGTTTTGGCATCCTTCATGGAAAGTTACTGCTACAGATTGATCCTATGAAATGCCCCAATGGCTCTAAGTGCCTCTGCTGTTGCACTTGGTGAAGGTATGACTGGAACCGTACTTGTCAGGATTGGCAATACTGCAAGGAAGGTACCAAGGCAGTATGCATTTCAGTTGTGTGTGTTCTGATGGCCAAAGGCAGTTTCATCTTGGTGGTCTCAGGGCTGGCTGTAACGCAGCCTTCTAAGCCACTCTGACACTGAACAGTGCTGGCAGTCAGCTGTGGGCATGAACAGACCATGTCAAAGGTCTTGTGCCAAGAGTATGGAAGAGAGAGCCTGCTGTACACCGCACGTGTGATGTGGAAGTATCTGCCCTTGGGATAGGAAATTTTAGGATTAAAATGGTCTTGCAATAATGCTGAATTCCCTGAGGTAATTTGTTAAAAACCCTCTGTGAATGGGTTACTTACAACCCTCAGCGTACTTGTTTTTAAGTTCCCTAACAAGTAATGCCTGGCAGTTGTTTCCAGTTATGCACATTTTTGTCAAGAGAATCAGCAAAACAAGTCCATTGACCCAGTTACACTTATGGGACCTTTTTTTTTTTTTTTTTTTTTTTTTTGGGGGGTGGGGGGTGTTTTTTTTTAATTTGTTTCTCAGATAAGGTGGTTTTATTGACCTACCCATAGTCCATCTCAACACAAAGTTAAAATCAAGTTAACGGGACTATCTAGTTCTTTTTCATAGTGCTTGCATTTGGGTCCAGCTGGATGCATTAAACAAGTTACAGTCCTTACTATTATTTTCTATGCCTAACCAAACCTCTGGTCTGTGCAGCATGATGGTAGCACAACAGGCTTGTACTATTCGTATTTTATCTAGAATTGTTCTATAATAGCAGATAAGAGGAATAACTAAATGTGTTTGTTACATACGCTTTCTCATTTGTCCATGTTCTTGTTAAGCTTTGGCTCCTTGAGATTTGCCAGTGTACTGCCTAGCACAGGGACTGTTTTAAGCAGGTTGTCACAGCCACATAAATTGGCTCACCATCCATTGGGATTCACAGGCTACCTTGCTTTGTGCTGTGGAGACTTGTTAGCAGCGAGGTATTTAAATGACATGTTACAAAGCAAGGCTAGCAAGGCTGATGTTCCTGCCAGCGGTGTCTTTGGAACGTGACAGAAAACATCAGTAAGTGGCAGCTTTAGGGTGAGCTATGAGGATGGAATAGGTGAGAATAGTTGAATATGGACACAGCTGGATGGCCTGCATTAAAATTGCCCTAAGTGCAGGTTTGTTTTTACAGAAAACATGTTCTGACAGTCTCCTCCTGTCTTTGCAGGAGGAGGCCAAACCATTTGGAATGACTGCATTGTATTTAGATTAATAAAGTGGATTAGAGATGTATCACAGTGTTGTTTCCTGGTCTTTTGAAGGGGTGTACCCGTGTGTACATGCTTAATATTCCAGAATAATAACAAGTCGCTGCTAGTAATGTTGCGTTTTATTAACATTTTGGGATAGTAGCTAGTTAGCTTTTCTTTTTGAAGAGCAAGGTGAAGGAAAGTATGGATTTTTAAGGCAGAAAGAAGGTTCATAGCTGCATATCCCTGCCTTGTACTTTCATTGCCTTAGATTTCTAAATTCTATTTTCTAGTGGGCTCTGAGGAGGCAGGGAAAAGAGGAAGTTTGTGAAAGATGGGGAGTTTAAGAAGCCACTTCCTGTCTGGAAAGGACTGTCAAAATAGAAGTCTGCCAACAATGAGAAGACTTAGTACTTCTAGCAGGGTAGATAAATTACTAATAGCTACATGTACGAACCAGGGAAAGCAGCTTGGAAACACTTCCCAAGGTGGTACAGTCCAATCTACGAGTGGCACCCTCATTATGAACTAGGCATATCTTGCAGGAGATAGACTTGGTAGAAATCTGTACTTCACACGAGAAAGCTCTAAAGAACACCCTCTATAGCCTTTAGCAGCTAATGCAAAAGTAAAAGTGCTGCGTAGGATTATTGTTGACAGCTGAACAAGCTCATTCATTCACTGGGTACTCTTATTGCTTCAATTCTAACTCCAGCCCATTTTCCAGTCAAGGCTTGTTATGCAGGTAGATCGCAGAGCACTTCTTCATGCAGGGACAAATAAAGAAGTGGTGTAATCTAGAGGTCCTAAACTGCACCACTTTCTCTGCCCACTGCTTTAGTGGGATACATACAAGTGGGATGCTGCTACCACAATTATTAGTGCCTCAGAATTTTTATTTCCTGCTTTTTTTACCTGTAGTCTCCTTTCTAGAAGCGAGGACTCAACTGACCAAGGCAGGACTTGGTTTTGCATGGCTTAAAAGGCCCAGGATGTTACTTCGGATATGGTTCTACAAGAGTTTATGCTTGTCTCAGTCAGTGGCATATTTCTGTTCATCCAGCAATGTCACTCCCTCCTTTACACTTGAACTGTTCTGGTTTGAGCCCTTGCTCTTAGCTAGATAGTTCTACATGCTAAATTGTCAAAAACTCCTCTGCCAGATAAAAAGCCAGCAGTTTAGTACCCTGAACCAGCTCATGAAGAGGGCAGAGGAAAGTAACTGTGTCAAAATGAAGAAATGGGCAGCAATGTGTAATTAGGATTGTGACCCTGGGATGCCATCTTAAGCTGGTGCAAGTGTCATGTTAGAAATAATACCGCTCCTTCCATGGTAAGAAGCTGGCAAGTATTGTGGTTGTAGTGTAGTCTGCTGTATGTCCATCACTTTTTCTGGATTACTGACTTAGCTAAAGCAGCACTTTAATGTTAACTTCTACTGTAAGTTATGGTTAAGCTGCTGTGTCCTCTACTCTTGCTCCCTTTTGGGAAACAAGAAAAAGTAAGGTCCAATCATGTCAGTTTTAGAAGCCTGCATCAATTATGACAATCAAGCAACAGAAAATGTGTTACAAACAGCATTTAAGATATACATAGTATTTTTCTTTATGGTGTTAGTATGCCTTAGCTTCTGCTGATTTCAATGGCAGACACCTGAGGATCATACCAATGTAGTACTTAAAATATGTATTAAAAAAACCCAACACTTTTTTGCTAAAACATCATGAAACATACAGAAAACCCAGAAGACATTACTTTTATCAAATTAGGGCACTTGAAGAATGGCTAAAACACATGATCCTCCTGCAAAGAAAATACACTAATAAGGCTTTGATGCACACAACAGTTCAGCAGTTCCAAGCAAATTATTTGGCACCTTTATTGCAACTAGAAGTTACTTTTTTTTTTAAAGCTGAGATGGTCCAAGTTTTTTTTGTCAATTTTAAATTTCTTTAATTGAACTGGTTTAGACTTGGATTCCTCCAACTGTTTCTCCAGTCCCATTAGCAAGCATTACAATACAAACTATTGTTAGTGTTTGGAAGTCAGTAATTACCTGAAAGAAAAGATGACCAGGCTAAGGTCAAACTAACATTATACAGGAAATGACTTACCTGCGTAGACATACTAGAACAGAGCTGGTTTCTACAGCAGCTGAGTTCATGGACTCAACTAGTGTGGGAGAACTTCAATCTTGATTGTAATAAATTTACTCAGTGAATAAATAAGAGACTTGGATTTGCTTTTCTTGCGTAGTAGTAGTTAAATCATAGAATCATAGAATGCTTTGGGTTGGAAGGGACCTTTAGAGGTCATCTAGCCCAACCCCCCTGCAGTGAGCAGGGACAGCTTTAACTGGATCAGGGTGCTCAGAGCCCCGTCCAACCTGACCTGGAATGTGTCTAGGGATGCGGCCTCCACTACCTCTCTGGGCAACCTGTTCCAGTGCTTCACCACCCTCATTGTAAAAAATTTCTTTCTAATGTCTAGTCGAAATCTATTCTTCTTTAGTTTAAATCCATTATTCCTTGTCCTGTCATAACAGGTCTTGCTAAAAAGATTCTCCCCATCCTTCCTATAGGCCCCCTTTAAGTCCTGAAAGGCCGCAGTAAGGTCTCCCCGCAGCCTTCTCTTCTCCAGGCTCAACAACCCCAACTCTCCCAGCCTGTCCTCGTAGGAGAGGTGCTCCAGCCCTCGGATCATGAAGCCAGCGTACTTAAAAGTGCCATCATGAGAGCTATGGAAGTAACCATGAATACTAAACACCAGTGATGAGCCTCCCATTTCACTACTCTTGCAGTGTAAGAAACAATGTCTAAAGACTGCCAAAGTTAAAATGGCAAGTTACACTTGACTGAAAATATGTAATCAGGCAAATGCTGGCTTTCCAAGTATTGTGCAAAGCATTTAAATCTGTTTCCCTTAGTTATCAGTTACTGCCATTAGAAACCTTTACTATGCAATTCATACCCTTAACTGTAGAGTTGCATTGTGTAATTAAGTAGCAAGCAACGGATAGAAGAAACCTTTAAAATAAAGGTACATACTCTAGTAACAACACTTCTGGACCAATTTTTTCAGAGGCTGAAACAGCTGAAGGTAACCCATGTCTGAAGAGTACATTACTTGCCTCAATGCATTTTGAGTAAAAAAAAAAAAAATCAATGCCTTTCTTATGATTAAAATTCTAGATAGTTTTCTGGCTGCTGGTCTGCTACTAGGGAAATAATCCTAATCACAACATTCTTTAAGAATATGCAATCTTAGAATCTGTTTTTTTCCATTTAGTTTCTTTGAAACAGAGTGCTACTTGTTTCTCACTTGCACAGGAACATCACGGTTGTTTTGCCTTTAATGCTTTCAACAAAAACCCTGCCAGCAGTACATTGCTGTGACTGAATTTTTTTTCAAAAGAAACTAAAATGAACTACTAATCACTAGTTTAGACATGTAGTTTTATTGCTTAATCTTTAAAAGCTGGTTTTACTCAGTAAATACACAGGGTTTTTTGCAAATGTAAAGAAACTCTATTCTCTGAAGATAAATTAATGCATGTTTAAAATGAAGTAGCAATTTTAGTTTGCTCCTTGATACATGGGAGCAGTTAAGTAACTTAAGACTGCAACACTATTAAAAGATGTGGGTTCTGCTCCTTTCCTCTTCATTACATAGGTGGTGAATCATGTGGTAAGTAATTTTTAGTTGAATGAACCTGCAAGGAACAAATCAAGATGTCTTTCAACTTCTCTTTTTGGCACCAGTGCAGCCTTATAAAGGCTTGGTGTGTAATTTCAAAATTGACCAAAATTAAAATACGAAATCTTAGTTTTAAAACCCACAGGACAAGCGGGCCAGGAAAACACAAACAAGTGTTGATAAACATAAGCGCATTTGATGTAGTTTGAAATGTTATGCTATTTAAAATGTACTCATTTTAGCGTATGTAACTGAATTCTAATTTCTATCCAGCAGTGTTCTGACATCACAAATTTTAAGAAACTGTTTCATTCTTCATTTTCTCACACAGTAAAATCAAGAATACAAACCCACATGTTCAGCTTCCTGACTACTTAACTATATTTTTCTTAGCAAAACAAAATAGCATTTTAATATAAAGGCTGCATTTAAAAGATCCTGACATGAAGATTAACTGCTACCAACAGAAGGGAATCAACTTTAGGACAGTTTTAAAAAAATTAAGTCAAATGTTTGAAGTTTCCAACCTCCCTGTGTGAAAGACACAGTTTTATACTACTGTAATTTAAACACGACCAAAGCCTAGTTAGCAGAGAAGTTAGGGCAATAGCTTTGTTCCTCTTTTCCTCAAAAATTAAGGTCTGTATACAGTAATTCATTGGGTAACACTTCCATTACAGATGAAGTCCCTCCAGAAACTTGAGAAAATGTTGGGCTAAGTTTAAGCTTTGGGTAGAGCAAGAAGAACGCAGTCTGACAACAACTAAAGGAAGTGATTACAAATTTTTAGCAGCTCTAGTCCAATGATGCGACACTGAAGGAGATCTAGGTTTGAGTCTATTTACGTGTGACCTGCTCAAACAGTATGAGTAGGGCAGGTAAAAGCCTTTGCATGGGACACCTGTCCTGGAACTCTTTGGAGCCTCTTGCTTTATTTAGAGAACCTCAGTTCTCAGATGGCACCTGCTGGCCATGTGTTTTATCCAAGTATCACTGTTTTACAGTCAGTAAGTGTGGAAACGACTGGACACGGGAGAGCCTACCATCCATGTATTGAGAGTAGAGTGAGCATGTCTACACGGACAGAGAGACGGAGAATTCTTAGCAGAGCTCACCTACTTCAGGCAAAGTAAAGGGCGCATGGAGCTCGGTCACATACGGATTACACTCAACCAGTTCAAGATGCTCTTTTTCTTTCCTTTTCCTCCTCAACCTGGGAAGAGCTGCCTTCTTCCAGTTTGCTCCTCCAAACATCCACAGTTATTCAAAATTAATACTAACCCATGAAAATCTCTTCTTGGTGTCAATTCAGTTATTTAAGAAATAAGTTTTTCATAATGCTGCTCACTCAGAAGTTTGTTTTTATAGATCAGTGTGAATTAAGTTTACGGGACAACTATGATAAACCTTCCAAAATGAACTGTAAAACAACTCGTTTATGTACCAACCCTACTAGCTCCCACGTAACTTCAACTGTTACATACCTATGTAGGTTAATATCATTAAATTTGCTTCAGTTGACTAATGTTATGAATTTGATCAGGAACAATATTTAAAAGTCTCATCTAACTTACCTGTGATGTAGCCTTCTAAAGCTTTTGGCACCAGTGATTTTGCAGTTCTTAGGTCCTCAGCTGAACATTTGCCTGCCTCAAGCCCAAAGGACATTCCCATTCTCTTCAGTACCTCACTGTCATCATGAATCTCAAAAGTGTTATCGAAATTAAAGAGGTATTCAAATCTGCATGTAAAAAGTCAAAGTGAGATGGTTTTGAAAAGAGCACAACTATGCTTTTTTTGCCTATTTTTCTTTTTTTTTTTTGGTATGCACTGAGGTAAGTGCCTAGAGTCTTCATTATCTGTAACGTGTCCTTAAGGAAAAAAAAAAAAAAGTGCAGCAAATGCTTTTTCTCTTCTGCTTCTGTGACTGGCATGCCCACAGGGTTTAAAATGGCACCTTCTCAATTAAAGTAACTTCTCCACTGCAGGAAGAAAGTCTAAAATTTTCTACCTCATTAAGCAGATTCAAAGGGGAAGAGGGAGGCCTTACTAAACATGAACCTTCACTTGTAGTAAATCCAATACTTTTAAAGGTCACCTGCATCCCTGTCACCAAAATAACTATTTTGGTTTTGCTTCTTTTGCATTTCACTTTCTGTTCTAATGTGCAACACTCCTCCTGTGAACTGACCTATTTATCTTGGTATGACTTTGCTTTTTTGGATGCATTTGGATGCAGCTAGCAAAGCAGTCTGTTCAGAGTCCTCTATGTTCACAACCTACCACTTCTGCTGCAGGACTCAAAATATTTTTCAGTGCTTATAGAAGTGGAAGTAGTGATATAAACTTAATACAGCTCTAAGAAAAGCAGGGGCATCTAGCCTGGCCTTATGCTATGATCACAGGCTACTAAAAGCCTGGGCAGCCCTGGTCCAGGCATTACAATATAAGGCTAGTTCCCAATACCTCATTTTCTGCTGACAAAACCTTTGTCCCTGGAAAAGCAACCCATCCGTGAGATATGATCTTTGAAAAATAACTCACTGGTGGGTCTTCCATTAGCTCTCCAAGCTCATGTCACATGTGGATCTTCTTGATAGTTTTTTTTAATACTGATTTTTTTATACCTGGTCCAGTAAGTTTGGAAAAGTTATGTCTTTTGTGCCTACACACAAAATTTTCATCTAGAAGTCCACATGCTTTGTACTAGGTGTAATTGTCAGTTACAGGCATAATTTCTTTTGTGACTCACACAGTATTACTTGTAAAACCTACCGTTTATGCAGCTATATTTGTTTAAGCGTAACCACATTAAAAGGGAAAATAAGATGTGTCACTATAC